GCTTCTCACAAATGTCAAACTCTGTTTTTCATTCGCTTGTGATCGGGTTACGTGGCTGTGAGTCCCGCTTGCTATTTTTTTGTTCTGCTCTCTTCGGTTCGTTTGTCACCACTCACCGGTTGTGCAACGTTGTGCACCCATAGCCCCCGCGACGTGGCTTTGTATATATTTTGTTGGCCCTGGCCCCTGTCCCCTGTTCAGGAGGCAATTGAGCAGGCCCAGCGCCAAGGGGAGGATGGAGATGAGGCTGAGCAGCCTGATGGTGATGCTGACAAAGAGGAGAAGGAGTCCAACTCTAGCTTCGGTGGATTTGGCAGTGACAGTGACTCGCCTCCGAAGAGGCGTCGCACGGCTCCTGCATCAGGTCCACCTCCCGCTCCACAACAGCCTTCGAGACACCCGGCGCCTGCACCTCCTGCGGAGAAGCTGAAGGAGAAGGAGAAGGAAAAGCTGAAGGAGAAGGAGAAGGTTGAAAAGCCGCAATCGAGGGCCGCCAAGGCCAGGGTAGAGAAGGCTGAGAGGACTTTGGCTGCTGCCCAAAAGGCATACAAGTCACTGGAAGAAATTTCAGTTGATATGCTGTGGCGGTCTGTGATTCGGGTTGGAGAAGTTGAACGACGTCTCCAGAAAAGTTCGGCCCTGCAAAGTGAGCTTGAGGCTTTGCTTCCAACTGGAGTGTTCGATCAGGTCAGCTTGGAGACTGTGAAGGGCTTGCTGGAAACAATGGGCCCGCACAGGACATTGATGAGTGACGTGAAGGACCTGTGCCGTGAGATCCGCACACTCAGCTCTGAAGACATGGCCAAAGCTGTTGCGTATGGAGAAGGAGAACTTGTGGGGCTTTTCAGAAAATGCTTCTACGGCATTCTGACCAACCGTGACCAGGGAACAGTCATTGATATGCTTTGCACTCTTGCCAAGAGGCTTCATGAGGTGTCTGGAGTTTGAAGTTGGTGAAACTTCTGTAAACTGTAAATTTCTTAGTCGAGTCATGCACTGTAGGCTAGGTTGGGTTTTGAACCTTTCTCTACTTTCTATTTTCTTGTGACTTGATCTGCAGAAAACGGGAGTCCGAGAGTCCCTTCAATGCGTCACTAGTCACATGTCACTACACTAGTACACAGTACTGTGACATACTCTATTAGTCTAAGGGACACTACACAGTGACAGTACCAAGTAGCACTATATACACAAACCGCAGACCTTAACTTGTTTTTTGTTGCCTCTTCTATCATCCCAGAAAACCTAATGATGCCTCTCTCATATCCCCACTCAAGTCTAAGTTCAAAACCATTGCAACTCCAACTGGCAATGCTGGCAATACATGGATCAAACTTTATTTTTTTTCTTGCCATTACTTTACATAACATGCCGTGACACGTGACATGCCTGACAATCACCCTTTGCCTTGAGGCGGACGAGTTCCTGTTTTTCAAATTTCTGCGGATGGCGATGGTGGATGCTGGCCCACGTCTTACCCTCTACATGTTGGGCAAGATCACAGAGACGTTGGAGCTTGACGAGAGCCGCGACTGCCCGAATGCAGAAGAACACCCTCGTGTATGGCCCCTGCTTATGAGAGTGCAGAATCAGGCTATGCAGGACTTCTGGGAGAAGTTGAGATTGCCCAGTGGCCCCGCTTTGGCCAGGAAGGCAATTCCTCCATTTCTGAGGAGCGTGGACTTGAACGTTGCCAAGTGGTTGCTTGTCAGTGTTCTGAAGAGTTTGGGAGTTAGCCTGAGCCTATGTTTTTTTGGTTTGGGTCTGAGTCCGAGTCCAGTCTGATTTTATGATACTGCGGCTGCGTTTTCTCGACATCAGCAAGTGCAGAGTCCAGAGTCAACAGTAGTTTGGTCATGGACCATGGAGAGACGGTTACACCTACTGCCTGCTACAACTGACAGATTTCAAGCCCTTTTGCTTTGCCCTGTCTTGTCACAGGTTGCCAGCGACATTGCCACCGGAGTTCAATGCAAAGGACATGGTCAATGCGAACAACCAAACTGGCTTCAACCAACAAATCATGGTAGACCTACAGAGAGTGCTTGCGTGCTTGCAGGTCCAAGGCAACAACCCGAAGATCGACTTGAAATATTTGTCAGCGATCAGCAAAGGAAGCTTCTCGACGAAGCTGGTCATGGCCATGAATGCTCAGAATGAGTGGAGGCCGGGGGACCAAGTGTCAACAAGGGGCAGCATCATCATCAGGGTCATAGACAGCAGCATCCCACATGCACCCTGACCACCAAAATACTCTGAATTGTTGGGCTTGGGTTAGGACCTGGCCCCTGACCTCACGTCTTTCAACCCTGTCAGGACATTGTGGGGCAAGGTCTTGGGAGAGGTGAAGAAGTTCTCAGAGCGAGCGCTTCCGAACCTGGACCTTGAGAAATTGTTCTTTGCCTGTGATGAGGTGTGCGCACTAGAGGCTCTTGATGAGAACTCCACCTATTCCGACGAACAGCAGGAGATGATCCGAAAGCTTGTGCACGAGCTTGGATCTTGCCAGGATGAGGATTGTGTGAACCCTGACAAGATGGCAGAATACAAGGAAAAAATTCAGGGTGTCACTACTTGGTTCAAGAATTTCCAGCCTAGTTTTGAGAAGGTGAACACCGACTTGTGTTCCTGGGCTATGGAGGCTAGGCAGGCTGACACCTGTTCATTGGACAGTCTCTCGATGGCCGAGTTTGCAGCGAAGTTCCCGCCAAGCGTCTTCAAGCTCCCAGATGATTTTGACAATGAGCTCTTCTTGCTGCAGTGTTCCTTTGCAGTGTTTAAAGCCTTTGACTTTGACTTTTGACTTTGATTTTTATCTTTGGGTTTGACCTTTTCGATTACAATTGGTGCTGTTCAGTGATTTGGCCACTCTTCGATTTCCATGTAGGGCTGCATCGGCAAATTACAAGCGGATGAGATTAAACTGTCGTGTTTGGTCCGGTCCGGTCTATCAGATCACATTGTTCTTTCAGGTAGTATGCAGCTGGCGTTGCAATCGATCCCTTCAGCACAAGTTCCTGAGCAGCCATACCTTCAAGCAGTCCTTGAATGCTGCATCTTGGTTCGCAGCCAGGCCAAGTATTTCTCAGGAACCTCAATGCCAGAGTCACCGGAGGACTCGTCATACTACTACATCCTGGGCTTCGCAACCAGCCTCCAGAAGGCATGTGAGGGCATTGGCAAAGGCGCAGATGTTGAAGATCGCTCTGGCCTCGCAAATGCATGCGCAGCCTTCCGGGACCTTGGCAGATACGTGGAGAAGGTTTGCAATGCCAGGAGTCTCCAGCTGATGGCAATGACAACTTCTCCCAGCTCCACATGGGACTACAAGCGTATGCTTTCAGCTGACTACCATCCAATCGCACAGTCTTTGCAAGTTGCCCGAGAAGTCAAAGACAGTGACATCGCTCAATCCCCACACCTTGAAGACTTGATCAAGCACCTTCCCAACTTTGAGACTGTGGGAAGCGCACTGAAAACGGACTTGCTGAAGGATCCTTTGTTTGAGGATTTGGGGACAAACTTCAAGTCCTTCATGACCACCTACGTGCAGAGCCTGTCGGATGCCGTCAAGATGTTCGATCAGGCCCACTTGCAGCAGTCCCGGGACTTCATTGCTGAGTTTACCCCAGTTGCTCAGGCGTGTGACAAGTGGCAAATGTCCCCAGTTGCCGCGTTTTTTGGAGAAAATAGTGACAAGACCAAGGAGTCACTGGACCAGGTCATTGCCGCCAAGGAGAACATGACTGGCCCTATGGCAGCCCTTACATCCTTTTGCAGCCACAAGACTAGCAACAAGGACATTGCTCCAGTGCTGGGCTCTTGCAAGGACGCTCACACAGAAAGCCTCACTCTTTCCAAGCAAGTCGACCACATTGCAGGATTGGTGGTGGTCGCAGCTTTGCTTTTGAGGGGGGATCCACCACCTTCGTCTGCAGATGCCAAGGCCACTCAAGACATGGTTGCCAAAACCTTTGGCTTGACTGTGTACCCGGCCAAGATGCAGAAGTTGATGGGTGACTTGCTCAAGACCAAGGACGCGCCTGAAAAGTCTGAGAAGCAGAAGGAGAAGTCTGAGAAGCCCGAGAAGAAGGAGAAAAAACGAAAAGACAAAGATGCAGAGCAGCATTCCGGCAAGAAGAAGGCCCGCGCCGGCAAGAAGGAGCAGAAGGGTGATGGCGGTGCCAGTTCTGCTGAGGAGTGAATAGGCCGCACTCTCCTGAGGACATGAATCGTAGACTGATTCAGGTTTTGACTTTTAGAGGCAGAGGCAGAGGCACTTAGACTTTGCTAGGCTTTGGTGGCTTGGCAAGGCCGTGCTTACAGGAAGACCCGAATCTGATCCCGCTGGAAAAAGAGTCTGTGCAGTGCGCATTTTGTTTTTACTAGGGGCAGGCTATGCCATGCTTCACACTGGCACTTTCCTAGGCGATAGAGACTGTAGAAACAGTGGGCAAGGCCACCCCAAGAACTTTCCCAGCACACCATCCTTAACATCAAGCGCCGTCAAAGAATTGCAAAACAAACTTTACAACAACACTTGCCACATGCAAATTTACATCAGCCCCCTCTCAGAAGTTTGCAACATCAGTTGCAACATCACATTTTACATGCAGCCTGTTTCAACCAAGGTTTACAACATGAACATTTACAACAAAATTTTCCAGCCATATATTTTACAACATAAAAATTTTCCAAACTTTTCCTGTAGAACAGAGATAGACACCAGTGTTTGATATAAATCAGGTCAAATTAATTCAAATTAACTTAAACAAAAGCTGTCGCGACAAAGTAATTACAAAGCAATCGCATGCAATCGCATCTTCCTCCCTCTTGCATGGTGCTTGTGATCAAGCCATTGAGTGACGAACTCACCCCATCCCCTCAACCCCCCCAACAAAGCCAGCCCGGTGCCACTGCGACCGTTCCTTTTCTTATCTTCAGCATGGCAAATGGAGGGATGTCCGGGTCCGACCCACCCACCTTCCCTGCCATGGCGCTGGTGATGCGCTCCACGGGGAGCCCAGCTGCCTGGAGTTCCCGGGCGAAGTCTAAGGGCTTCCTCGGTCGGTGGGTGATGCGTGGGTGACGCGAGAGTCTCTGGCGCTCTGGCGCCATCAATGGCTGAAGGGCTGATGGATGTGGTATACGTGTAACTTGGGAAGCGGGAGGAAGACAATGCAAATGCCAAAAAAAGATCAACATTGGGTATTCTATTTATTGCTATCTTGACTTCTTTATAGATACTTAATTTGTCATCGCGGGTCTCTGAATCCACTTTGGCTGGGGAAAAAAGAGGACACAGCATCATTCAATAACATCTATATCCTCAGTGCAAAGCTCAAAAAGCTTGTCGTCCCAAAAGCGAAAGTGAACACTCCAAGAATCGAAGGGCCCTCTCCGGGCATCTTGAGACATCTTATGACATCTGACCCTTGCTTTTGGACAAGTTGGTGAGTACCGACCCTCGGGGTGTCCTGGCTGGACTACCCCACACTACCGAAAAAGGCTTCCAGACAGGGCACCCCGACAGGAGGGTCCTGGTACATGAAACACCGTGTTACCTTGGACTCTCCCAGGAGTCTTTGGCAAAGTCTACAACTCCAACCTTATCCTCTGATTCGGAAAGGCCTCCGACCGAATAGAGCGAAATGGCCTCCAACCTAATAGCAACGGCCTCCAACAGCCACAGGGTGGCCCGTCATCAACCACATCCACCCAGCACTTCCAATATGGCTGCCCAATCGAGACTTATAGGTAGGGTCCATTGGTGACACCACATCCAGTCAAGAGACGGGAAGCGCAAGATGGAGCGTTCCTGAGCGCATCGGCAGCACGTGGCAGCCAGCTTCACCGCGAGGAGACACGAGGACGGACGCGAGGACGGGTCGAGCGGCGCGAGACGGTCCGCGCCTCATGACGTGTCACATGTATAGCGGTCCAGAGTGCGCCCCCAAGGAGACGCAACGCAGAGACCTTCGCGCCTCATTACCAAAAACAGGGAAAGGGGGCCATGTTGCCATTGCCTCCACTCCACCCTCGCTCCGTTGCCGACTTCGAACGGCTCCAAGCAGCCAAATATTCGTATTCCTCTCCGCCGGAGCCCATGGTGGCCACCCAGCCGATCAGGGGCACCTCGTCAAGCCGAGGGAACTCGACTCGAAGCTTAAGCTTTGAGGCGCCCATGGCTCTTGGACCAAGTGGGTGTTCCATGCGGTTTCACTTCGGAAGTACTGGTGATCCAACGATCTTTTTTAACCGGTCAACTTGATGGTACCACAGGAATCCCCATGTCACTTCCTTATTTAAGCAAATGCACCGGATATCGACATGTATGCCAGGAACAGCTGCGCCACCCAGCCAGCCGTCCGCGAATTCAGCACCGCTTCGAATGAAGCACGTTAGGTTTGCTGGTTCGGAACCGGGAAAAAACATTTAATTAGACAAAAACAAACTACGGGCAGTCACTAAGGGGTGCTAAATGGAGGTTAGGGGTGCACATTATCCACTCACTTCAAACTAAACACCACCCCTTTGTCACTCCTGGTATTTCCTATGTCCATATATGTCCATCATTTTCAATCTATTTCCCTCGAAGGGGATCACTCAGTTCGGGAATAAGCACAAGGACCAACTTCTTTCACCCATTGAGAGGACTCTGAACCCTTGTTTTTTGTTGAGGCACCACCATACGGGTGTGTAAGAACCTTTAATAGGGAGACCCCAACCACTAGGGGGTCTGCTGTATCCATAAACTAAACGTAAAAGCACATCCATCAACGACCTGAGGGATGGGCCTGTTTTCATTCCATCGCCGGCCACATCAAAAAAATGCACCCAGCGAACACCCAACATGGACATGTTCGGACCAAAAGACCTTAGGTTCGAACCACTCGGATGGTTCGAGCTCCTCCCCACACTGGGAGGCCGAGGGGCCACTTCAGTGATGAAGCTCCTCGCCAGGCGCGAGAGGAAGGTCTCACCTGCCGGTGCCGCTAGCGTCTCCGCCGGTGCCGGCGGAACTCCCCTGAGAAACAGGAACTCTGAAGCGCTTCTACAGCCGTTGAGATCCCCGCACAAACCCGTATCGAGAACCTGACGTGGACCCCTCTTTTGAAGCCCAAAAAACACCGGCAGCTTCCAAAGGAATGGCTATATTTCAGTCACATCCAGAGAGTAGATCATGGGAACCCATGGGGTTCCCCCTAAATATCCTCCAAGTTCGGCACCCCGATATGGAACTGCTAGCACAATCGTCTTTGTTCACGTCTCAGACCCTCGCAAAACCAGGGGGTGAAACCTGCAGGAGCCGACGATGCAGTGACTGGGCCGCAGCCGCAACGAACCGGGTGCCTCCTGGTGCCCCCCGAATGGATGTTGGTGAGTGCTTTCTATATACCAGGACCCATCCTGTCTGCGTGTCCAATAGATTACCCTACAGCTGCTTAGGGACCTCCATTGTACACCCATTGGATGATCCAGGTATGTGAAGTCCATTCCATGCTAGTCTTCTGAAACACAGTGACAAGAAACTCCGCCACCCGCGGCTTCGGATCTTCCAGAGTGGGCTTCGGCTCTTGCAGAGCCCTGATCCTCATCATGTCGAGCAGGAGTGAAAATTACTCCACTAGTTCTATACCTGGACCATCCTGTTTGGGTGTCCTGCCTGGAGATCCCGGATAGCAGTGCAAGGGTAGTCCAGCCAGGACACCCAGGCAGGATGGTCCTGGTAGAGGGACAAGGGCTCAAGCTTGCCTGGAGGCGTAAGCATTGTGGAGTAGTATTGGCTTTTGACCGCTTGAGTAGTATTGTGGAGTAGTATGGTTCAAACAAACCCACTCTTGATGGAACAAATCCTGCACCGCTGGAACAGGTCCCGGTTATGGCCCTTGGCCGCCTTTCCGGACCTCGTCCGTCCAGGGGTCCGTCCACTTCACCAAGTGAGAACCCCCAGAAAATGGTTCTCACTTCTGGTAATGGTTGCTCCATACCAGAGCACTTGATAGTATTGAGGTGTATCAAAGTGCATAGAATGGATCAAGAGATCAATCCAGTATATAAGTGCAAAAGAGTAGTCAATCACATTCAATCACACTTTTTGTTACATATTCATATTCATAATCGATATAGAAATACACGTATCTCTTGCGACCTGTACGACCTTTACTCATCCAACCAAACACCAATCCAAATGAAAGTGTCAACCACGGCCGTGGCAAAACTTAATAAATTTAGAATTAATTACAGTAGATCTTCTCAAAACGCCATGAATTAGAATCCAATCAACAAATCCCCAAACCGTTTTCGTTTCAAACATTGATCTCACTCTCTTTTCGCTTCACAACCACCCCTGCCGCATGGCTCCGCGTTGGTCTCGGCGGGTGGGTCGCCTGTCGGCAAGCTGAGCTCCAAGATGCACACGCGGCTCTGCTGCGAGGGATCCAGCACCCGGCGCATCTCACGGAGCGCCTGCCGGGGTGCACAGGTGGCGCTCGCCACGGTGTGGCCAGGTGTGTCACAGGCGATCGGCGTGTTTCCCAGAGGCCGAAGTCCGAAAAGTCCACTTTAATCAAGACAGAAGAGGCGACCGAACCGAAACAAATGCTACATGAGCGATGGAATTGATTTCCGTTAAACTATCACATGGACCTTCCTTACCTCGTTCTCCAATCCCGCATCGTTTTTGGTGTGTGATCTCGTTCTCCATTCCTGTATCTCGTTTTGGTGTGTGGATACCCATCTCGTTCTCGAGAGGTGTTCCTACCTCGTTTCACAAGCTAAACATGTCATTAACCAAACCATTTCAAACAAATGTCGCATTTGATGCCCATCTCGTTCTCGGGGTGTTCCTACCTCGTTTCGCAAACTAAATCTGACATTGGGCTATAGAAAAGGAACGCCCCTAGACTAATCTTCACTACCGCAAATAAAAGCCGTTGCTCACATGTTCGTCGGTCCAAGCTGCCCGGGTCCAAACCCAGACCGCGAACTGGTAACGGGTCCTTTCTGGGCCTTTTGGGCATAAGGGAAATATAGAGACAATGGTTGCCCCCTATACTGGAACCATTAGGGCCAGGGTTGGTCCACGGTTGGTCCTGCATGAATAGCTGATTCCAGACCATCCCTATATGGAGCAGTTGCAAACATTGGGGTCATCATGAATACATTACATCGAGTATAATATCCCCTAGACTTCCAAGACTCCAAGACCATTAAACGAATTGGTTAATGATTTAATGGTTGTTGGAAGCCTAGGGTGCAACATTTTCCAGTTCCCAGGATCGTGTCGAGCTCGCATGTGCCCTTCGCCCGCTTGCCTTGGCTCGGTCCGGCACGTTGCGGATGCCGAAGGACATGCCTTAGGGCGCGTCGCGGATGCGACGCGCGACGGGGGATCTTCCGCGGCACAGGGACCCACTGCGGAAGGTGGATGTCTGAAGGATTCAAAGCGAAGCACTATGTTCGAGCTCCAAGCAATAGTCGACACAAGACCCCAGAAGGCCGTAAGACAGGTCTGTTAGACCAGAAGTGGAAAGAAAAGAACCATGCCACTGACACTTGACCAATCCGAAACACTCCATGTCAGGAGAGCCGTGTCATCGCTATAGGCCAAAGGCTACACATGGAGCATTCAGGAATCTCTGAGACTCCAGGTTCCCCAAAACGCTTGTGCTATAATGTATATTCCCCGTTGGTCTGGCATCTCGACGAAGATCGATCTTCTGAGATCTTGAACATCGTCGAGAAAGAGATCGACGCGTCGCCAATGACCACCCGGAAACAAAACAAATCAAAAAAACATATGGCTACGCAGGCGCGGCATGTATGCTATATATATTATATATGCCTACATTGGGGTGGTTTGGAGGGTCAATGTAGGCATTCCATACATGGACATGGAGTGTATGGGCATGGCTACACAGGCACGGCATGCTGACTGCGCAGGTGCGGCAAGTTCCCAACTTGACGACCCAATCGACGGCCGGTGGCCTGCCCCACTGATGTCTGCAAGCGTCACTTGATTCATAGGGCCCATAGTAGCATATTGAACTGCTGTCCAAGAGAATATCTCCAAAGAAATCTATAATTATAAATCTTAGATCTTCCGTTCAACACGTGCATTATCATCTATCCATGTTTGGATCCATTCATATCTCTTCACCACGTAGGCTTTTTGACCTATCCATCCCATCCCAGTCAGACGTGACCGCGCTACACCGCGCGGCGTATCTCGCCACGGCACTGATCTTGTCCACCGAAGCCTCCCGCGCACCTGGAGGTCGGCCAGACAGGAGGAGTCGGGCAACGAGTCCGGACCATGGGTCAAGCTACCTCAGGGTGATGGCCTGGCTCACACCAGGGGGCCCAAGTGGTGTTGTGGAGCAGATCTCTACCAGGGCCCTGGGTTTGGGGTGTCGAAGTGTCCATCAACTATCCCTTGGGGGTCCTTGCATCGTGTCTGAGAAAAAGTGTCACCTTCCGCGACTTAGGGACCTCTTAGCGAGGTGTTTTTGTGGAACCATGTGGAACCAACCTGGAGGTTTCGGTGATGTCTTTATGGGACTGCGAACTAACATCTGGATAGGCCCCGGAAAACTGAAAGACTCAGAATTCTCCTCCAAAATGCCGGGGTTGGCCAGTGTGTCAGTAGACCCCAGGATACCCTCCTTCCACTCCTCCTTCCCCATTCCTTCCACTCAAATCCCCCTTTCTTCCACACGTGTTCTCACACCGGTTCCCACACCCCACATGGCAGCTCCGTTCCGCGCCCCGGGCGCGCGAGGCCGGCGTTGTTCGCCTGGGGACTTCTCGGCCAACGTGCCCTCTGCATCGATGACCTGCACCGTGCGCAGGTCCTGCGCGACACGACCGCAGGGTCCAGGGTCTCGGTCTCTGGAAAGCCCCCCACATCGGCCATTGGACTCCTTCTTGGGATAGGGATGGATGAGGGGAAGAACTCTGAAGAACCAGGACGGCGAGCATTCGGAGAGATCGATCCCAAATCCGCTCGGCCGAGAAGCTCTACCTGAGAAGCTGCTCTCCCTCCGCGCGCATGGGGTCAACTCCCTCTGCCGGGTCCATGACTTAAGAACCCTTCTGACACCAGCACACACCCTTCTGGTCCTCCGCCTCTGCCGCCTCCGCCTTTAGAGTGCACAACCGAACGCACAACCTTACCCTCAAAGACCTGCGGCAGACTGCCAAGATTTGGGCAGCTTCAACGCGTGCAAAGTTGGATGCAGGAGATCTGGGAACTTTCCAAAACTTGATTAGTACTGGGCCAGGAGGAATGCAGCTATGGAATGTGTCCTTTGATTTTGCAGAATTCCCAGTCGCCTTGCTTCCATACCCAAGCAAAGTCTTTGCAAAACTCCAAAACATTGAAACAAGAAAACCACTTGAACATCTTGAACTCTGTTTTCGGCCGTTTCCTTCCCCCCAAAAAAAACCTGCGCGCCCCAAACTGCGCGCCCCTGGCAGCCATCGCCGTCTTCGTCCCGTCCCACGTCCGTCCTGGGCGTCGCCCTTCACCAGTCGCACCACGTGTTCCAGGCCGTTCTGCTGGACCTGCCACCGTTGTTTTCGCCGAAACCGGGCCGAGAACGCCCCGGTACTTTCACGCCACGCCCGTTCGGCGTGTGTTGAAAGAGGCAGAGTGGACAGTCGTGTCGCACGGCAGTAGTTCAGTAGTTAAGGATTATGAAGGACTTTGATGCGTTTGGTTTGATGTCCAATGGTCAACAATGGTTCAATGGTATTCTTCTTTATTGGATGGTCAATCGGTCAATGACTGAGGGTCAGGGGCAAGATTCCCCAACACCAATTATATTCTCTGGCTGATGATGTGAACATATAGGACCCATGCCCAAAATCATGGAACATTGAAAAAGATGAGCGGCCCTAACATAACTCTGGATCTGGTTGATTTGCTATGCTTGACCCTTCTCCTCAATCCACCTCAAGTCACCAACACGCCCCCAACCCAACAAAAAAGACAAGTGAAGCAGGAGTGCAACAGAAAAACCTCACAGTCGAAAGATCCCCCATGCGTTCGCCCTAAACCCGCGGCAGCCTCCACATCTTCTTAGACAACTCCATCCACTCAGAAATAAAAAGGAACAAACAAAGCACTCGAACTCCATCCACCAGACACGACGTGGTCCAACACCGACCGTTCCGCAGACCGTTCTCCACTCCGCGGAGTTCCACGTGGACCGCCTTGGCGACGCCGCGCCGGAGCATCTCGTTGCTGGGATCGACGCCCAGCACCGCGTCGCGCACGGAGGCGCCCAAGCGCCTGGAGCGGACGGACGCGGCGGAACTGCGGCCTGTTAGAGACGTTATAGACCTCTCAAACACTCTAGACCTCGAGACCTGTAGGTTTCTAGGCCTCTGCAACCTCAGATCTCTAGGCTCCTGACCTGTAGAACTCTAGGATCCGTAGGCCTCTATAGATCTCTAGTCCTCTAGATTCTTTGGATCTCAAGACCTGCCTGCATCTCAAGATCTCGACCTCTGGATTGCACTCTGACACGAACAAGCATCTAGACGCTAGAACCCTACACCTCTAGATCTCTCTGGATCTTAAGAAGGGATGCAGAAGTCTAGACCTCTCAAACTGAGCTCGAACACCTCTCGACCTCTAGATTTGTAGGCCTCCAGGCCTCTAGAGCTTCAAAGGCTTCTGGATCTCTACACCTCTATGTTGTTTGATTTCAAGACCACTGCCTGGATTTCAAAGCCTCTCAAACTCTGGACCTCTAGATGTAGTGTTCTTGGATCTCAGACCTTTAGATCTCTACAAGACCTGTAGATCTTTGGATTTCTTTGGATCTCAAGACTCAAGACCTGTCTGGTTCCCAAGATCTCGACCTCTGGATCTTTAGACCTCTAGACCTCTCAATCTCTAGACTCTTTACCTTGAGGACCTCGAGATCTCTGCTAGACCTAGAGATCTTTAGGTCTCGAGAACTCCAGACGTCTGGATCTATTTAGATGTTTCATTCTATCATGTCAAGACCTCTGGACCCCTCCTCCAGATCCCTAGATTTCTCTGAAACCCCATATGTCTGGATCTCTATGACACCTCTAGACCTTAGACCTCTAGACTCTAGACACGCTGCATTTGAGATCTCTTGCGGAGAGAAATTTTATCGTGGAATGTGTGGATGGGGATTGGAAAACCACATCCAACTGGGCAATGTTTCCTTTCTTTCACCTTTTTGGGCAAAGGCCAAACCAACCGACCAGCAAACACCACAAAAGAGCTCAACCAGTCGAGGCCACTGCCTCAGCTCTTGGCCCACCAGGATGCTCACCTCAGTCGCCGCCGATGAATTCAATGGGATGAGAGGGTCATGGCCCGGCACGGACGCCGCGTTGCGCGGCACGGCGGATCCACTACCACCTCTCGGGAAGGAACCACTGGACCCTGTGAGCCTGCATAAAAATCTTGTTCGTGATTATATATATACCCTAGGGCTCCAGTCGTACCTCCTCAGAAGGTATTTGGACCCTCTAAACCCATCCCAAAGACCTTCTTAGAAGGTACTTGGAGCCCTAGGGTTTTATAATATATATAGAGAGAGAGAGAAATGTCCCTCCAATAGTAGGTAGAGTGGCGTCACCTCAGGGTTCCAAAGACACAAAAAGCGTTTGTCAGGTCCGATTCCGCCAACCACTGAGTTTCAAACTATAAGAAAAAACTGCAACTTCAACCCTTGGCATGCCTGTGACCTGACAGTTTTTTTTTTTACTGCCTTTCGTAATGAATCACATCGGTTTACCTGTTATACAGCCCAGGGCCCAGCACGACGAAACGGCGACAGAACTGGGCCTTGCACACCAGCACATGGCAAGCCAAGTATTCTTGGAAAAGCATGGCTGGCCCGCAAGTATATTGCATGCTACGGCTTTGCGTGCGACAAGGAATCCGGAGTGGCCCCGCTCATGGCTAGCTTTGCTGTGGGATGGACAGGCCTGTGGTCCTGTGGTCCAGAAAGCGCTGGTACTTACAGGAAAGGGGCTGATCATGGTCCCACATGGCACTTCCAGGCGAATCGGGAACTGCTGTGTGTGGGTATGGAGCTATTATCGATTCCCATCAATGGTGGGCTGGTCACAGCAGCTTCTCGGCCACTTCGCACGGATGTCCACAGATGCCCACGGTTTGAAGACATGGACGAACGAATGAGCCACGGATCCCAGAGGCGCCCGAACGAAAGAACAGCGTGGTGGATGTCCGACATGTGAGACACTTAACCAAAAAGGCCGTAACTTCAACATCACGAATGCCGAAAAAGAGCGGGAGTACCAGAATCATCAGCCACAGGTTTTCGAGAAGTTCAAGAACACCTAAATAGTTAAAGCCTCCCCATTGCGGTCCCTTACAGTATGCGATACTTAAAAGTGTTGGTCCACTGGATCCCGGCTCAACGCTTTGGTCCCCTATAATCTGTGCGCGGGCTTGCTCTACTGCAGCGGTTTGGATCTGACTGTATCAAGTAAATGATTCCGCGGCCCCAAAAAAAGGCCATACAACTTTGCCCAAAAAAGCTTTGGTGTGGAGGGTTCGGAGGGCCCTCGTAATATTTTGTGGTCGTCCATCATGATGGCACAGCTAAAGATCGAAGAAATACCCATCCTCTGGTTTGTAAAAATCTGCGTTCTGACCATGTTGTGAGAAAGCACCAGCCATGAAAACCCATTCAGCAATCCTACAGATTCCAGCCATACATGGTTGCATACATTGGGGCGGTTGTCAATGTCGGCATGAATTCCAATCCCATGGAATTCATGTTTGAGTACATGAAATCTGCAACAAAAAACCATCTGAGGTGGACAAGGTGTTTGAAATTGTACATCGTCTCTGGGGGTTTTCTCCGCCATGGCACGTCGGCTGTGCCAGTGGCCAAATCCAAGACCCGGTCGTCAGGGCGTAGTTGCAAGCAGTCCTCCAGGAGAGGACCCGGCATCCGCAGAACTGATCGCGACGTGGTTCTTTAAGACCCTCTGTGGGATTTGAATTTGAAGGTAACATGGGATAGGCCAATATGCGGCTCTGAGGTCTTGGGTTGTTGAACTCTGCAAGATTTTTGGCACCGTCAGGTTGTAATCAGTCGGTAAAGGTCAAAAGGTCAAACACATGAACGTGAAAACAACTGACTCTACCTACGTAAACTCTGTAAAGACTCAGTGCCCGGCGCCTCGGCTTTTCCGGTCACCACATCGGAACAAACATGCACACCATTTCGAAGACAAATAGCTGTGTTTAGGGCACCGTGAGGGGGTCTGGGCGGATTGCAAAGCCTTACGGCCTCGTCCGTGGGGGCTGGACGCACGCAGTACCTTATTGTGTCAACCCAGATCTGCAAAAAATGCAGGCTGCGTTTTGCAACACGGTAGATGTGTATACCTGTGTAAGCATCTCGCGCATGTGATAGAGGTAGGTGCCTGGGCCTGGGCCTCGACGTGCTTCAGAATCTTCAAGAGCAATGTTAGACAGTAGCGGCAGCAGTGCACAAATCTGAGACACATTCTTCATTCCCGCATGCCCTGACAAGAGCAAAACATGGTCATAACTGCTATAGCTTTGCAGCAACAGAAGAACAACAAACCCTCACCTTCGCCCTGATTGGTCTAAGCGGACTTCTTTGCAATGACGCAGTGGCACTGCGTATGGGAATTTTTGTTATCACATGTTATAATAACGTGCATCACGCCAAGCAAGCCCATTCTGAGGTGGACTATGATGGCTGCACGTAAGCCGTTTGCAAGTGACCTGCGAAGTCAGCTCCAACTATTAGAGCATCTAACTCTAACGCTGAACAAAGCCCGCCACACGTCCTTCACCATGGTGGTGCGCCAGTGCTGGTCCAAGCCAAAGGACATCCTTGGCACAAGGAGATCGCCAGGGGTGACTAGTTACCAGCGCAATATGAGCAAATCTTGTAAGGGTTTCATCCGTCATGACTATCTTCGCGTTGCTGCACACGTGACAGAAGTACATGGCTGCTCACATGCAACGTGTTACGTGTTGTGATCGGGCCGACAATGTATAAAGTGATCGGGACCCGGGAGTCTGGGCACCTGAGTCATACTCTAGTCAGCTGTCTCAAACTTTGGACAAACTTAGGAGACTTCGACATCCTCGCGGCGCGAAGCCAAACATCAACACCCAAACATGAAAACCATGGAAGTGTAAATGCGTGAGCTTCAACCCTGCAAGGCCCCTGCTAACCATCCACCCAGCGGATGGAACATGGTGGAACCCGCCAAACAAATACCATTGAAACGCTAATCGGCAAATAGAACTTGACTTCATGAGTTGCTATGTCTCTTAAGCTGGTCTCCAAGCTTGAGCTAGTCTGATAAGACATCACATGTTTCGCAGAGTCCACCCCGTAGTACATCAATGAATGTACCAGCGTGGCCCACATCAATGAATGTACCAGCGTGGCCCATGGCGGGCTTTAAGTGAGTACGTAGCGCCGATACGCTCGGGACGCAACGCAATCATGGAACCCGCGGCGCCGGCAAAATGGAAAGCAGTCTTCCAAGGGATCATCTTCCACTTCAATCAGACTGTGCTTCAGTCATCTTCAGTTCGGGTCAAGCTTAACAAGTATCCTTCAGCTTTCAACTCTTCACCAAATTGGTCCAGCACCACTCAAAAACCACTCAGCATTTCCACTTTGGATCTTTGGATGTGACATGCCATGAAAGGTGGCTTCAGTGAACCTAATCAAGAAATAAGGGTTACGGTTGATCTTTTTTGCGATCTGTGGTCACAACCTTTCTCAAGTTGTGAGCCCAGGAGTATGTGCATGGTTGCTCTTAAGGCTGGTTCACCATGTCGACGCTGCAGCGCCGGTGCTGGAAGTCCCAAGAGAAACCTGCCCCTAGGTGGCCAAAAGGAGTTGTGCATAGTTGTGGTGATCGGAGAAATGGATCGAAGATTGGATGGATTTAGTGCGGAGGAGATCAAGCAGCAGGCGACGTCGCTGCCGGCACAGGGGCTTGGCCTTTGGCGGTGAAAGGCGTGAACCTCAACAGGATCGATCTTCGGGTCGAGCTCGTCAAGATGTTCCTTGACACTGTCCTGCGGGCTCGGGCCTACGACCTCGGGTGGCAGCTCGCGCTCAACATCAGGAGGTGAAGATCCGTGAAGATCGTGGTCATCTTCAAAGACAGGTGACACCAAGTGCCTTGGATGTGGAGAAGTTTAGGGGCAGAGTAAAGGAGCGCAGGAGACGTTCGCCCGGGAGGTCGTGAAGTTGACTGATGGCGGAGACTTCTTATGTCCCGGCGGTGTCTCGACGGCCAGCGGGCGCTGGTACTCATCGGGTCATCTATATGAGGGCGGTGTCAGGTCGAAAAGCCTCATGGGGGGCCGGAGGCTGTCAGGAGCTTGCAACTTCCTGGACTACCTCATCTTGGGTTTCCTTTGGAAGGCCTGGCGAAGCTGGCCAGGTGTGTACGTCTCACGGCCATGGTAGCTAGCTTGACGAGCCATCGTCGCTCAGCGGCCAGTATCAAGAAAGACGGCGGAGTTCGGTGACAGGAGACCCGTGAACACCAACTATCAGGTGCGATGGATCGACAGCGACTCGGAGAGCGACTCGGAGAGCGACTCGGAGAGCGACGCGATCTGCCACGAGAGTCGCGGGATTTGGCGCGACCTGAGGAGGGCGAGAGTGATGAAGGGGTTGCCTTTTTTTCGATGGGTGAGAAAAGAAACGTCTCATTGCATATGAAGAAAACATCTGTCTATGCCCACAAGTGCTGGTACAACAGGCAGGGGGAGTGATGTGAGATGTCCAATTTGGATGTGACATGCCATGAAAAGTAACTTCATGTGGCTTCACTGTGAACCTCGTTTGGCTCAAGAAATAAGGTCGCGGGGTTGATCCCTTCTTGCGATCTGTGGTCACAACCTTTCGCAGTTTCAAAAAATCAAAACTCACTAGTATTTCAATGTATTTCCAACATCCAGTTGTCAGTCGCACAACAACCACATCACATATATGAAGACCTACTGCCCAGTATGTCAAACGCACTGTCCTTTCCACGCGTATTTTTGCGCAATGGCAATGGCTCAGAAAGGACCCTCAGTTCGCTGCGGTTTTGATATGTTTTCACCCGCACAACTCGGGCAAGGGTGGTGATGTCTCCGGCACTGCATGTGGAGGCACCCGAACTTCCTCCATGAAAAGCACCACCGACATGAAAACTGGTCACACGGTCCAAAAAAATCATCGACCATCGGGTCAAAAGCCCTCTGGCGGGCCTGGCGACCGCGCGAGACCTCGCTAAAAAATATCGGCACCGAGTGCGAGACAGAAACACCCACGGTACGGAAACACCTTCTGCAGAGTGCGAGACATGCCAAATCGCGAGAAATGCCTCTGTCACCCTGAGAATCCCGTGTTTTTCTTCGGGTTCTCTCCCCCGCTTTTCACCGGCGGCGTCTGGTGAAAAAAAGAACGCAGCTTGCGCTCAGTCCGAAGAAACGCGTCCTAAAACTGGGCTTTGCAAGCTCCCCACCAGAGAAAAATACTTGTATACTTAGAAGCTGATTGACCTCTGTTTTCGGAGCCAAAACATGGTCTTTTCCTATCAAAACAGAGGTCAAATGGGTTCCATAGGTAACCTATAAACTCAAGAATTATGCTACATAGAGCTTCTGCAGCAGCAAACACGAGGATTCAGAAAGGAAAAAGGAACTTCTTCACCAGGTTCACCGGCCCAAGTTCGCCCAGCCGCCGAACGCTGCGTCAGTCACTGCGTCAGTCGGTCGCTGCAGTTCTCCTCACGCGTCAGTCGCCGAGGTATCGGGACGACGGATGTCGAGGAGCCATTTGTTCGCCGCGTCGTAGGCGAAGGCGATACGGTCGAACATGTTGCCGCTGCCCATACGTGGTGCGGCTGGGCCGTCCTGTTGCTCGCATGGCCGGAAACGCCAGAACCATGTGGTCGACGGACTTAAGGTGGTCAGGGAACTTGAACACAACTGGGGCAAAGAAGAAAAGAACCGATGGGACAAATTGCCATGGATTGGGTCTACTTAATCCTATTGCCAGTAACACATTGGTCGATGATGATCAGTAAAGGTAAAGGCCTTGTTCAAAAAGTGCTAAGTGATAAGTGTTTTTTGACGGATACAGTGGAGTCAATGTTTGTCCAAACATGGATAGTCTGAACACCGGAAAGATCCCAAGATTTCCATGTTGTCACGAAATGCCCAGTTCATCCAAAGCAACTGGGCCGAAGCAAGCTGAAACCATTCCTAGTAACAAGGAGACAGTGTAACGATCTCCGCCTTTTTTGCGAAAGGATGGCTGTCTCATGCTGTCTCAAATCCAAGGTTTTCAGCCACCACAACCAAATGCTAAAGACATCAAAAGACAAATCCAACTTCCACAAGTTCCACAAGGCTATGTTGACTGTTGACTGTTGGTAGATGGTGAGTTCCATCGCCCTGGGGACTTCTCCGTTCCTCCACAGTCCATCATGTTCGGACCAATCCGTTCGGAACTGATCGAGGACTGGTCTTCGGCACACACGTGTTCACGTCGAGGCGAGCCACTGTGCACCATGGAAACATGGTCCAAATATGTCCAAATCACATGTTTTTTGTTTTTGTTCACCCCAAACCATTTCTTCAGCTAGCCCCTCCCGGTCGCTTCATCGGAGCCCAGTCGCGCCGGCGTCGCACCTTCGCTTCTTCCGTGGCGTCCAACGACGTCGGCTCGCGCAGCCGCGGGTCGAGCGGCGCGGCGTCCGACGCGTCTTCTCGTGGTGAAGAGCCACCTGCGGCACGGAGAAGGACTGCGCCGTCCGTTCGGCATCGAAAGGAGAAGCGAACGATCCTGGGATTCGACCCGGAACCGGGTCACTGAGACAAAAACATCGAATTCCCGACGATCAAATGGTTTCTTCCTGGCAGTGTTGTAGGGTCAAAAACTAGGGTGAAACGCTGGTGGAGAAGGTCAAGACGATTGAATCACCACTGGTGGCTCAGTGTACCTCCAGAACACCCTAGACGGAGAATCCTGGTCTGAAGCAAGTTTAGAGGGCTTATCTATAACTTGACTTAAGGCTTAAACGCGGCCCTAAAAAATCGTGTTTTTGACAGTTTTTGTATGTTACCGTCCAACTAAAAGATAGCGTTTTTGATAGTTTTTGTATATGTTACCGTCCAATACATGGGTGCTGTCATTGCACCAGTTCTTCAGGTCTCCTCAAATCCCTTGGCGTTGTCGCAGGGTAGACAGGACCCTGCAAGATGTTTCATGGTATACATTCCAGGAGCATCCTGGACCGGGTGTCCTGGCTGGACTACTTCTCTGCTTTCCGAGATCTCCCACACCCAAATAGGATGCTCCAGGTACAGGTCCCTACCTTCTCAAAATATGGCACAGAATCCTTAGCGATCATCCATGTCTCACTGCATCATGTTCAATCTGAGCCATGGTCCACTTATACTTCGAGATCTCCAGCCATGGTCCCTGTCTGGATGGTTCAAATGGATTTCATCCTGTTCCATCCGAGTCACGGAGGTGGCTTCACTCCCCGAGGTGATAACCACTGCGATCCCCAAACAGCCTGTTCTCAGCATGGTCACGGTGGGGGTCTCAAACATCACCTTAGGGAGTCAAGCGGCCGGGCCGGGCGTTGTTTGGAGCCATGTCGGTTCGTTTTATGAGGTTTTAGGTCATAAGGGTTATGAACCAGGTTTTCAGGTCGGTGTTCCATGAATGAAGCAACACCTCTTCTAGCTAAGCAATCGAAAGTAAAACAACAAGTTGTTCGGCAAATACCTTGAGTATCCTTGTATTATCCCAACCCATAAACTATTCAGGGGATGGGAATACTTTCAGAAAAGCTTCTTACTATTCCCTCTCCCTTTATTGTTCAGGATCCAACCTTAGTGAGGAAGACCCATTAGGCATGGGGCTGTATTCCTATACCCAAACGCTCCATGAATGGCACGTATGCATCAGGCGACGGGTGGTTGACCGGGGGGCAGAACTGGGGCGGCAAACATTCCAGTCATCATGACATGGAGTCTCTGGGACAGTCAGCACATTGGTGGCAAGTAAGCTCAGTAACATAATTTCGAGCGCCTGCCATGTCAATCCATTGAAACGCAATACATTGATATGCAAAGTGACCCTCGAACACATAGAAATAGATAGAATCAAATAGAACATCATATAACAATTTGTCCCAAATTATATAAATCATAATAAGACTTTGGGTGTCAGCAACTAACTATCCTGTGCCTTCTGGTTTCACAGAGAGACATTGGTTCTTTCACTTCCAAACAAACAGAGGTACCAGGACTGGAACACGTCCTGCCACCTGCGCTGTGCAAATTCAAAGGGTGTGATACTACCCATGTCAGTGGGGGTTGCGCCGAATGTTTCTCCCTCAACACCTCAAGACCAAGGAACTGCCAAAATCACCGCCAGCGGCACCACCGCCAACGCGCCAGCACAGCGGCAGCAGCTGCCGAGCAGCGTCATGATGGCTGTCGTCTGGCCAACACTTCACAAGCCTTGATGCCTTGACCTAGAAGACTCAGAGTAGGCTGGCAGCTGCTCAACCAGAGAGATGTTGCAACGAACAGTTTATCAAAGGATATCAGTGGGTCGGGCCACGAAACTTTGAGAAAGAGGTCTATCTCTCTATATATATCATACACGTTCACGGTCGCTAATGGCCAGAGCTTTGGAGTTGGTGGAATTCAGCTACAGGTATCTTCACCATTAGAGCGCCAGCTTCTCCCGGCGCTTCACACTTCCTGAAGATCTGCATTGAAAGGTCAATCGGATGGTCGGATTGTCAAGGATACTGTCAAGGATCTATCGATGTTCAGTGATCTTTGAAGACTCTCTCTCTCTCCCTATCTCCATTTCCGCCTGAAACAGTGGGCAGCTGTGTGTACTGCTAGCTGGCTTGCCACCTCCAAGTTTCCCCCTATTGCTGCCCGCTCCATGTGGGGATGTGGACTCCATGTGGGGGGTGGATCTTGATTTCACCATGCGGCCAGCAACGGCCACTTGAGCAGCTGGCGGTGGTTCAAAGGACCCAGGTTTGACGTACAAAGGAAGAACTTCTCCCTGCTCCAAGACCCAACAAAAGGTTCCGTATTGAAAAAAACAAAAACACAACAAACCAGCCAAAGCATCATTACAGCAGAAAATGACATCTGCATACCAACACAAAATAACACAAGTATCTATGGTTTTCCACGCTCCACGCTCCCAAAGCCCTGGCCCACGCTCCGCGCGGAATGCCTGACGCTGCGAGGGGTTCAGGGTCTCCCAGAGCTGCTGAAAGGCCACGTTGGAGCTCCGATCGATCATGTGAAAGGCCTCGTTCGCTGCGGAGTGGTTTCTGAAGAAGTTCGTGCCGTTCGCAGAAACACAGCAGAATGGAGAGGAGATGATCTCCCGAGTTCGCAGAATGGAGCAGACCCGTGGAACGAAGTCACGAAGTCACTTCAGACCCGTGGGGCGGGGTTCCCGGCGAACGCACGCAAGGCGCGCTCGGCCGCACGCGGCACGCGCTAGTTCGGCCGCGAGCGGGTGGAGAGGGCCGATCTTTTGGTTCTTTTGTCACCTTTGAATTGGCAAAAAGACCAACAAAGACAGCCAAGTTCGCACCAGTTGGCCGGTCGTGAAGCCGTGGTGGAATCTGACCAGCTGGTTTCGTGGTTTCCTCCAGGCCAACCGCCAAAGGACCCGCGCGGATCCTTGCGGTTTGACTCTCACAACTAGGGCAACTTGGACCGAAACATGTAGCAGTTTGAGGGTCTATGATGGTCTCTGAGCCTCTCTTGTTGCTTTCTTCCGCTCCTTTGGACCCACCGTCCGCCAGGGGGCGTCTTCGGCTTCAGGGTCCGGCTCCTGTGCCCGGACCCGCAGGAACCGGTCCAGCTGATCCGGCAAGTGAGATCAATCAGAGAAACTCCAGCAGCCTGGTGAGTGCCCAATGAAATCTCTGTATTCTGAGCCTGGTGAGTGTGTGAGTTCAACACCCCAAGTCTCTTTGGTAGACTGGTCTATGTTCCGAACCTGCCCACGGGGGGGGGTCGAACTGGGAGGTCTCCCCAGTCTATCGTACACACCCCAAGTCTCTTTCAACCCATCGGAGCTTGATGTAACGGGTTTGCCAGTGGGACATGCGTTGGAAATAGTGGATGATATATGGGTTGTTTCCTCAAAAAGGAACCAAAGGAGATCCCCCCAAAAAAAACACGCACCAAACAGCTGTTTTCACCGCACAGGTCGCTAGGGCCCTTACCCGAACCATGTTCCTCCGGTCGGTTCCGCGTCCAACGGAGGTTTCACGTCCAATGGCCGCGAACATCCCAAGAGTCTGACCATCCACTGACTGGAAGAATTACTGTATCCCTAACAACCCTTTTTTTCTGGCTGCTGGTTAAGATATGTGACTTATGTAAGGTTAATTCAATGACAATTGCCTATATATGGAATGGTTATTTGCCTATCATTGGGGGGGATGTCCAAATGTATTCCAGTCCCATGGCGTTATGACCATCAGCACCACCTGGACCTGGAACCGGAACAAAAGCAGTGGAATTTCAGATGTAACACATTGAAAAACATCATCATAGATCTGGAGCAGCGACTCCTGTCCTTTTTTTCTCAACCTTTTCAAAGCCATGACACGTCAAAACTGCCATGGCATGCCGATCAGGCCAGGGGTGGTGATCGGCGTATATAGTGAATGTCGTACTACAGGTGAAACGATTCCCAAAAAAGCTTTATTGTTACTAGTAGCGATGGCCTCCAACCTAATAGCGAGTGCCTCCACCGTGCGTAGCTTCTAGTCCAACGCGTATATATTCCACTCCAATGGAGTGTTTAAGACCTCCAAGTTGCTCTCCCGCACACGCCTTCTAGAAACGGCCTACTGCAGTGGGCTTATGGTTCCACAACTGGCGCCAGGCCTTGTGCCTGTCCCCAATCAGACTGACTTCAGAATGGAACTATATATATATATATACCCTCCTTTTTTTTTCGTGACCTGAATTTCATCGACTCGAAGTCGAATGTCCTCTTTGGGTATCACCGTCTTCTGTCCCGTGGCAAACCTGGGCCATTCAGAGATGTGGCCAATGCCATTCCAAGGTCAGGCGTGACAGGAAAGAACCCCGGGCCATTTGAGTAATTGGTTCCAAGGATCTACTATATATGATACATGTCAATCTATAGAATCTATAGACATATTCCAATTCTTTCCAATTATTCCAGATTTCTCGAGAGGGTAGGCAACTTTAGGACACAACGCGACATGATGCTTTTTGTTTAAACAAATGGCATGCTGTCCACTGTTCATGGTCATCTATCAATTCTCTTGGGAGATACTCAGTCGCTTTGCAAGAACCCTGCGGTTCTGCCTCATCCAAACCGCTTCAAGAAGCAGGGTCTATGCTCCGGTGCTGGCTACTCGGTTCTGTGTATTATCCTGCTGGTTGATGCAAGAGCGAACAGACTTCAGCGGTTCTCATCGGATGAGAACCCAAAGATCAAACCTAGTTTTTGGGTGTAAGCTCAAACATGGTCGCCGTTCTGCAACCTTGTCGCAAGGGTCCATGGAAGATTTGGAAAGATCATGAACCATCCTCTCTCCCTCCCTCTCTCCCTCTCTCGCTCTCTCTCGCTCTCTTTGATTGAATTCCTGCTCTGCCTGGCGTGCGAGACTGCTGGTCTCTGTACCACTTGGCTTTCCCACCGACAGCGTATCAAACGGGACAGGCAGTCTACGGCTTCCTCTGAATGAAGCCTCCATTGTGTGGTAGATGCCGCAAACCATCGCAGACCTATCTGTTCAAGATGGATATATACCTACTCTAAGTCTAGAATTCATTCCAATGACACAGCTTGGGGAGATCGTGGGATTCAGCTGCAGCAGCTGTGCATCAGCTAGATCATAGTTCAAACCTCAGGTGAAGGTGTCCAAAATGATCCATTATGGCATTTGCCGGCATAATATGCATCCTTATTCCACCATTGCACCATTGTTGTTTGGCACTTGAGCCTTTCAGGTTAGCACCCCCGAATGTCCAGGGCTTGCACCGCTTCAGCAGCTGCTGCTGAGGGAAAAGCGCTGGAAACCAGCTGCTGCCTGCGGGAAATCAAGCTTCGAGCGCTGAGCAGCATGTCGCCTGTAGACTCTTATAGATGATATGTCAACCCCCCTAAAATGAATAGGAGGTTTTGCAAATCCATGTCTGCGGGGGCTTGATTCATCCATCTCAGAGTGGGGAAATTTCATGCAACTTCTATTCTATCAGGCTTACCTTATTGGACTGCATGCGACACTGAAGGAAGAGCACTCATATGTCATATCTGGCCGTGGATCATGGCAGCGGGAGACCTTGGTTGAACACCGAACATGAACAGAATGGACGACCTAGTACCTTGTGAAAGGGGCTCGGGGTTGTGACCCAGAGCCATATGATGCACTCCATGAACATATATATATATATTGTTTTAATAGAATTAATTTCATACCTACAACCCTTGTGCATCGCTCGCACTTCATCTCACAATATGTTTCTCTCAGTCGGCCTCACGTGGGGCCTCACGTGGTGCGTCAAGGGTATTCACTGTGGATGTCTTCAATCGGTTGGAGCCACCGACCCTCCCCTCAATCCTTCTCTTCTGTATGAAACGAATGGTGGTGACTCAGTATCCCGAACATCAACTGCAAAATCAACAGTGCTTTTCACCTCTTTTCACCTCTTCCACATCCACCCCCCCCTCTCCATACATCCTCCCAAAAACCAGCAATTTCACCCGTCCTACGTCCGTTTGCTCCTCACCGTCACGCAGGTGCCCACCCCCTCGCGTCTCTCGCGTCGGAGGGACACGTCGCGCACCTCGCCGCTCGAGCGCGCGCAGCTGGCGGAGGTTCTCAGCGCACATCTCCTTCGCCGCGTCCTCCATGCGCGACCGGTGACCGCCCGGTGACCAAACGAGAGGCTCCATGGTAAATATGACCTACATGAAAACCCAAAAAGAAACCATCAGTCATGTAAGAAATTTACATGGATCATGTGGGGCTTGATTGTTCTGTGGATGTTCTCGATAAGGAGGAAAACATAGGAAAACTATAAATGTTCAGACCATGAACCACAGGGGGTGGACTGGAACATGCGCGCCACGCGACGCGGGACGTCGCCGTGGGAGGATCCCTTCAAACCGTCGTCATGCAGGAGACATACCAGGACCCTCCAAGGGGTCCCCAATGGAAGCCTATAGGTAGTGTGGGGTAGTCCATTGGACACCCCTTGGAGGGTCCAGGTATACTTGCTTAATTACTAGTAATGTGATCTGACAAGAAATTGGTTTGACACTGCTTGACACTTCTTCGACTTTGACCAGTATAGGCAGGAAGATCAGGACAGGCGGCTACGAACCTTGGACTGCTGTCCCACGTCGCCATTTCCGCGGGCGGGCTGCGGGCTCCTTCTGGCTGGGCTTGAAGTATCGAAATGCTCGGCTCAAGGCAGTGCCCTTCAGCCTGACTGGCTCGGAGCGGGAGTGACGATC